AAAAATTCCATTTTATCATCTGTAATACAACATTAGATAAAATTCATTGCTTTTAAATTCTTGTCTCCTTGTGCTGCTTTATTTTCAGTAACCTGTTTTCCTCTAGTTGTAGGCTCATCATATTGTTTGCATTTCATATGTTTATATTCTCTTCTTCCACATGCTGTAATTCTTACCTTCAAAAATCTAAGGTTTCATATTATCGTTGTTTGCCATTTCGTCTTCTTTTTTTATTTTTTTGCTTTGCTTCTTCTTCTTTAATTTTTCTATTTTTATTGTTTGTGAATTGAAATCTTGTAATGATTCTCTATGGTCCTCTCCGTCTGTATTAGGGTTTCCTTTGACAGATAATGTTTTTACCGCTTTTTCTGCTTCTTCTATTTCTTCTTTCTTTTTATTTTCTAATGCTCTTTCGATTATCTGCTTAATAGCCTTCCTTAAATCGTCTAGTTTCAAGTCGTTATAATCTTCAACTTCTTTATATATTTTAAAAATTTCAATTAATCTTACTTTCGGCGCTGTCTTAGGTTCTTGTTTTTCTTTGATGTTTTTGCACACTCTTCTAAGATCTTTAATGTTAACAAAGAGTAACACTGTGTCTATTCTAAATTTGCATACGTAGCAATCAATTCTTCTTTTGGAATTGTATAAGTTCATCCAGAGCTTTTCCTTGCACATACCAGTATTTGTTTTCAATACTCATGAAGTAGATTTCCTCAGTGCTTGCTTGAACTTGTTTAACCATAGAACCTTCTAGTGTAACCACGCTCTCCTACCATGTTGAAATAAGGTATGAGTTAAAAGGAATATTATTCCTTATATGTATTTATTACACGAGGGTGGTCCGATAAGTACTTAGCCTCACCGCCCGTTGGCGCCACTCTCGCAAAAGAAATATTCTATCACGTAGTACAACCTCCTCGATAGTTACTGTCAAGATTTCAGCCGGATCGGAGTTGTAGTTTATTTTTGAGAGCGTGTGAAAGCAAGTGTGTCCGTTGATTTTTGAAAAATGGAAAAAGAGCAGTATCGGTCGGTGATTCGATTCTTGTTTTTGGAAGGGAAATCGCGCAGCGAAATCAAAAAGCGCTTGGATGCAGTGTACGGTGACTCTTCCCCTTCGATGGCGACCGTCAAAAATTGGTTTAACGAGTTTCAACGTGGTCGCACGTCGATATTTGAAGAGCCACGTCCAGGTGCTCCGAAAACGGCTACCACGGAGGATAACGTGATAAAAATTCACGATCTCGTATTGGCAGATCGACGACTGAAGGTGCACGAGATAGCTAAGATCGTAGGCATCTCAAAAGACCGCGTGGGTCATGTCCTGCATGAAATTTTGGGCATGAGAAAGCTGTCAGCGCGATGTGTGCCGCGTTTGCTCACTCCGGACAACAAGCACAACCGTGAGATAACTTCAGAGCAATGTCTGACGCTGTTTAAGCGCAATCCAAAGGAGTTTCTGCGTCGTTTCGTGACAGTCGACGAAACATGGATCCACTGGTATACACCAGAGACCAAGAAACAGTCGAAACAGTAGACTTTACCCGGCGAAAGTGCTCCGAAGAAGGCGAAGATTGCCCCATCAGCCGGAAAGGTGATGGCCACCGTTTTCTGGGATTCACAAGGTGTGATCTACATCGACTACCTGGAGAGAGGCAAAACCGTCACAGGGCCGTACTATGCCGAATTATTGGGCCGATTCGACGTCGAATTGCAGAAAAAACGGCCCCATTTGGCGAAAAAAAGTGCTCTTCCACCATGACAACGCACCGGCTCACTCCTCCGCCGTCGCCATGGCCAAATTGGTCGAATTAGGCTACGAACTGCTGCCCCATCCACCGTATTCTCCAGATTTAGCCCCGTGCGACTTCTTTTTGTTTCCAAACTTGAAAAAGTCACTCGCCAGGCATAATTTTGAGTCGAATGAGGAGGTAATTGCTGCCACGGAAGCCTACTTTTCAGACCTCGAGGAAACGTATTTTTCAGACGGGTTAAAGAAGTTGGAGCATCGCTTGGCCAAATGTGTCGAACTAAAAGGAGACTATGTTGAAAAATGAAACGTCACTTTTCCAAAATTTTCCATTTTCTTTTGTAGGCTAAGTACTTATCGGACCACCCTCGTATTTGACAAGTGGCATCACAGACATATTCATACAACATTCATAAATCTACAGACACTAAAACTTCACGCTTGGTTTCGGAGTCTTTATACCCGATAACTGCTGAGTTATAATTACACAATTCAGCACTCATCACAATTTCAAAGAGTGCATCGTACTGCTAAGCTTTGCATTCTATGTAGGACATTGTACTGCTAAGCTTTGTATTCTATGAAGTGCATTGTACTGTTGAGCATAACATAAATTTATTTTATTTTCTAGCAATTTCAGATGTTTTTAATGAATACGGTAGTAATTTAAAATTTACACATGAAACAGTTATTAATAACAAAATTGTATTTTTAGATACGTCATCATAAATAACTGATAATAGAATTTTAATTAATTGATATCCAAAGCCAACTTGTTCAGGCAGAGAGCTAAATTTTAATTCAAATCATACTTTATAAAAGAAACGTAATATTGTCCATAATTTGTTAGACAGAGAAATAATTTTATCCCATAGAACTTTCCATACAGAAAATATCAAGATAGTAATAACATTTAAATTAATAACAATTATTTTTCTGATTTTACTAATTCAGTGATTTTAGAACAATTTGAATTCAAATAATGCCTCACATAATACTTTAAAATTTACTATTTTATTACCATACCATGAGCAATTTTTTAACTCTTGTAAATCTACCTTCAAAAGTACAACATATGGGTTGTTTCGCATATGTTAGATGTGGCAAGGAAAAGAAGTGAAAAATCGTCCGAGATTTGCAGTGCTAATAAGTTACAATGTAACCAATGTCCGGCGGTTTATATACGAGGGTGGTCAATAAGTCTTTACAAAATCCAAGAGACGGCGCTCGTCACACTTAAATTATGATGTTTTTGGCAAGCAATACTACTAACTAGACATCGTACAAAGTTTCAGCTCGATTCATTAAGTCGTTTTTTTGTGAGCGTTGGTTGAACAAAAAGTTATTGGTTTATTTGAAAAATGGAAAAAACAGAGTTTCGAGCGGAAATAAAACACTTTTATTTGAAAGGCCTTACACCAAAAGAAATTACAATTATGGCAAGTCTACCCCTGTGTTTAAGACTGTTTATAACTAGGTAAATGAATTCAAACGCGGCCGTACAGCAACAAAAGATGAACCTCGTTCAGGACGCCCCATAGAAGTGAGTACGCCCGAAATGGTCAACAAAATCCACGATATGGTGTTGAGTGATAGAAGATTAAAATTGCGAGAATTAGTTGAGGCCACAGGGGTATCAAAGGGTACAATCATTTCAATTTTGCATAAAAAATTGGGTATGAAAAAAATATCAGCAAGATGGGTACCGCGTTTGCTCACTGTTGAAAACAAACGAACCCGCCTGGTCACCTCTGAGGCTCTTTTGGCACGCATACGTCGTAGTCCGGAAGACTTTTGGCGTCGACTCGTAACTGTAGACGAAACATGGGTACACCACTACACTCCTGAAATCAAAGAACAGTCCAAACAATGGATTACTGCAGGAGAACCAGCCCCAAAGAAGGCAAAGACAGTAAAGTCAGCTGGCAAGATTATAGCCACGGTTTTCTGGGATGCGTATGGAATCATCTACATCGACTACTTGGAAAAGGGCCAGACGATCACTGGACAATAATATGCGTCATTATTAGGTTAGCTGAAAGAAAAAATCAGAGAAAAACGTTCTCACTTGAACAAATAAAAATGCCTCTTTCTTCAAGACAATACTCGAGTTCACACGTGTGCAGCAACGATTCACGTCACAACGATTCTCGTCGAATGAAAAAGTCATCGCCGAAACAAATGCCTATTTTGAGGGTTTTCAAAAATGATATTTTTCTGATGGCTTCAAAAAATTGGAAGGCCGTTTAACAAAATGTATCAACCTTCAAGGAGATTATGTTGAAAAATAAAAAAAAATTACATATGCAAAACTTTTTTTTTCTTTTTTTTGTAAAGACTTATTGATCCCCCCTCGTAGGACAGACAAAAAGGAAACTAGAACAAAGAATTACAAAATATGCAAATACTCCAATAGACAAATTACTACCAATTCCAAAACATCTTACAGAGAATCCAACACAGTTTTGATTTGAATAATGTTCGAATTTGTGACAAAGAGATTAATAATCAAATAAGATATATTTCCGAAATAACATTTATCAATACGTATAGTAATACTATTAACAGATAAGAGGATTAAATAAATAAAATAAAATAAATAGAATAAAATAAATTTAGTATAACTAATTATCCAATACTATATCTATATTAATAAGATTATCTTTGTATTATGCTTATGTTTATCTTTTTGTCTCTCAGTATGCAGTGTGACTTGTGTTGTGTGACTTCTGGTTTGCTATTTATTGTGCATTTTCGGATTGTTATTTATTATATTATGACTAGATTGTTCATTTTAATTTATAATATTTACAAATAATTTTTGTCGTATATAGTTATTTTTGATATTGTGAAAATTATTCAGATTGCATTGGTATGTGTTATTTGTTTTGTAGTTATGTGTTTGGATATCATTACATGTGTAAAAAAATTTTTTTACATTATATTTATATAACGAATTGATTATTTTTGAAATAAAAGACCTGATGAGGCTGAAATACAAACCAGCGAAACGTCATTATAGATAATAAAGTACTTTCATTTTTATTTGGAGAATTGAGATTCACTCTCGTATTTCTTTGGTTAGAATTTCACAAAATTTTATATATTGGATAGTAACAGTATGGTTGATTATTATTATTTATGATATTCAACAAATTAGACTTTCTTTTAAGAATGTGATTCAATTTAGAATAAAACACCCTGTGTTATTTAAATTAATTTTATTTAAATTTTTAACACATCAATATATATATATATTTATATTTTCTTGTAGCTCAGCTACAAAGTACATATTTACTTATTTATTTATTTCAATGCAATATGTCGTAAATTTTATGTAATTTATACAACATTTAAATAATGAAATCTTATTGTACTCTGTAGAGTTGTTTGTATATATACATTAAATATTATTTCTAGCAGGTACTGGAGGTGCTGTAGAGGATCTTGCAGGAATAGGTGGTGGTATCGATGATGGTAATACTGGTGGGGGCACTCTTGGAGGAGGTAGAGGGAGTTGCCTCATCGGTAAGGGAGGAGCGTTTACGTATTTTTTATCTACATTTTCCGAAGAACTTATATTTGTATGATCAGAAATAGATGAACTAGAAATATTTTCAGTTATCTCTTCATGTATCGTAGACTCTTCCACTGAAGCTTTATGTTTTTCTACACTGACAGATTTCTGGATTAAATCTATATTTGTTCCTAAAATCGTTGAAGATTTTGACGGTGGCACAGGTCTTGGTGGTGGCGATTTATGTGAAGGATTAATTAATGGATTTTGAAAGTTTTTGCTATAATAGTTCATATGTCCTTTTTCAATGTTTAGATTTTCGTTTTCATGAAGAATTTCATCGTTTTTAAAGTAATCAATTTCTTTTTCAACAAAAGGGACCCAATCAGGGGATTTCAATGTCAAATGTAAAATATTTCCATAAAAAGCAATTGTGCCTTTTTGTACAGCAGCCAATGCACTTTGACCATCTCGAAATGTTACCCAAATTGTATCATTCACAAATCTTACGAGTAGAATTTCTCCAATTTCTGATAGATTTTGTACAAGAGAGTTCATAAAATCCGTTTCTATAATATTCTCAACGTCGTGTTTATTTTCATCCAACTGAATGATTACTGTTCCATCTGGAGGACCTAAATTTTGAATTACTTGGCGAAACACGTGGCACCGTTGGAGTTGATCAGTACATTGGATTTCAATGTCAACGATAGCAACAACTGGACGATGGTCACTTTGTTTTAATTCTCCTCTGCCATAATATATTAGTTTTCCAATATTCCAATCTTCATCGCCTTCTGAAAATAGCAAAAAGAAAAATTGTAAAAACTTATCATAGTAATATTATAAAATTTAAAATAAATTACTTATATCAACAAATGTATAAGGTTTTCTTTTCAAAAATGTTTTTATGGGATATGCATTGCAAAATTGTAGTTAGTACTTTATGAGCTTATTTTTAAAAATTAATAAAATAAAAAAAACTATATAGGAATTTAGAACCAAATTGAATCATCGATATATAGTCGAATCCATAACTCTTTAGTAAGATCGACTTTCGTTTAAGCTGTTTTTTGATATTGTACAATGCGTACTAGATAATGGTAGTTAATCAGAGAGTTGAGCCAAATATGTGCACACTGCTGTTTGAGCAGAGGTATTTTAGAATAATATAAATAAATGACTCGAATAATGACAGTATTTTAGAATTACTGATAATCTATTCGCTTAAAAACATTGTTGTACATTATATTATTTAGTGGTAAAATCATGCGATTTAAAATGTGTGAGTAGTGCTAGGTCATTGCTTCACTATAAAAGAGACTCACGCCAGCACACAGATACTTTGGTAGCATGAAACCTTCAATTTATAATGAAAAATAAAAATTTAATGTGTTCCATTTTAACTTACACATTAAATTATTTCAAAATCTATGAGATCTAGCGTAAAATGTTTCAAATAAAAGTTACTCGTCTTTAAGGGGTCATAAATATGGTGATTTGACTTTGACCTTGAGGGTCATTTTTAAGGTCATTTGGAGGTCAACATTGTTTTTTTAAATGGGAACCTCCATTTTTTACACCAGATTCAGAAAGAGCGGGAAATTCTATGTTCGGATGACCTATTATATGTTGGATCCGGGAAACCCTCCAAGATAGGCTCCAAGTTTACATAAAGTTCAATGTTATTTTTTTCTTAATCTTTCTAACTACAGATAAAAGTTATTGAACTTCAAGAGAGGCATCTTGTGATGACCTTAACTTTGACCTTGAGGGTCATTTTCAAGGTAATTTTTAAGATCATTTGAAGGTCAACCTTGTGTTTTTCGATATATTCTCCTTTTTTATCATGGATTTGGACACAACAAAAAATTCAGAAAATATATTACATGTAGTGTATACTTGACCCCGCAAGATCATGTGAAGTTTAATTATTTTTTTATAGGAACCACTATTCTTGATGTCAGAATCGGAAAGTAGAAAAAGTTCTCAAGGTTTCATGTAAAGGATTAGTTCAACTTTTTATGGCCATTTAAAACATCAAAATAATGACAAATTGCTTTACTCAAAACAGTTTCATGTTTTGCTAAGAGAAATTAAAGTATGAGTAAGTATTAGAATACTCTAAATTCATTAATCTTTTCATCGTATACAGGGTTTAACAAAAGTTATCAGTAAATACTGATTATAATCAAGAATAATAGTCAATATGATGACAAATAACTTAATAATTATGATACGAATGATCTGGCAATAAATTAATGATAAATGGTTCGCACAATTACGTTAAATGTTCAATAGGTCCTCATTTGTTCGCTAAGCATGTTTCCGAATGGCGACGATAATTATTTATAACTTCTCTAAGTATTTCTGGCGTAACTGATGTACAAGCTCTTTTAATTCTGTTCATCATAACTAGTCTAGTAGTAGGTCTGTCCTTGTAAACAGCATCCTTGCGAAACCCCCAGAAATAGCTGTCCAATAGATTGAGGTCAGCAGACCCAAGTAGATCATCACGACCTATTCCATGAGCTAAACATTCAAAAATACTTTAACGTTTATAGCAAAGTAAGTACGAGCACCATATTTTTCTAGCCACATAAGCTGTCGAATATTCAGTGGAATCTTCTCCAAGTATCCAGGTAGATCATTTTCCAGAAAATCAAGATTTGTTTGACCGTTGACATTGTCATAGAAAAAATAAGGATCAATGGTATGCCAGTTAAATATTCCCACCCAAACATTAAGACTTTAATAGTGTTAATTTATAACTTGGTGATGCCAATGAGGATTGACAGGTGACCAATAATAATGACAAGTATGTCTATTAAGTCTACAAACACATTTAAAAGTAGCTTCATCACTAAAACAAACATTCGAAAAGAAATTCGGATTTTCATCCAGTCGATTAAGAGTTTACCAACAGTAATTTATTTTGAGTAAATGATCATTTTCATTTACTTTCTGGTGTAGGATGATGTGATATGGATGATAACCCACGAATCTTAATATTCAATGAACAGTAGTTCGAGGTACACCCAATCGATGTTTAATTTCTTGTATTGATGTGAGGGTTCGAATGAACCATTTCCAATTCAGCAAGAAGTCTTGGATCATTGTTATTAAAATTCCTGTTTCTACTTCTCCGTCGATATAGATCATTCATATGGCAACGTCTTTCAATATTTCTGATTTGTCTGTCATTTGGATGGCACTGGTTCGGAAAACGTTCAGCATAGAACCGAGCAGCAGCTTTGTAATTCCGGCCACATTAACCGAGAACTAACAATACTTCCACAATTTCATTTCCTGAATAATTCTGTGAAGAAGTATCAAAGTCGTTATACATATTTGAAAGATAACACTAAAGAGTGGTATTGATTTGTTAATACTTTATAGTTACAGACGTGAAAAATGCTCATTATTGATTATTATTCATCTTAACATTAATTTGTTACTCCGTTCAAATATGAATCGAAAATTAACGTTTTTATTGAAAAATTTACTTTGATCGTGAAATGAGCTTAAAGAATTGATTACACATTACATTGTAATAATGACAGGACGTATAACTTTCGCTGTTTTGCGAATCCGAGATCAAGAATGTCGGTTCCTATGAAAAAAAAGTTGAACTTCAGATGACCTTGCGGGGTCAACTAGACACTACATGTGATATGTTTTCTGAACGTGGAGTTCTTTGTTGTTTTCTAAATCCATGATAAAAAAAGTAAGTTACTCCGAGAAACACAAGGTTGAGCTTCAATGATCTTGAAAATGACCTTCCAGGTCATAGTTAAGGTCACTGCCAGACGCCCCTTTCCAAATGCAATAACTTTTATCTGTAATATTTTTCGTATAACCTTATCGTTCTTAGGTCAGTTAAATGGAAAGATTAAGAAAAAAATAACATTAAACGTTATGTGATCTTAAGGGTTACCTTGGAGGGTTTCCTGGACTCAACGTATAATAGGTTATCTAAACGTGGAATTTTCCGCTCTTTCTAAATCTGGTATCAAAAATGGAGGTTTCAAAATTAAAAAAAACAAAGTTGACCTTCAAATGACTTTGAAAATGTCCCTCAAGGTCGAAGTTAAGTCACCATATTTATGACCCTCTTAAAGATGAGTATCTTCTATTTGAAACAGTATATCTCCTTCTCTATAAAACAATTTTCCTTGAAACTAACTAAACATTATTTGTTTTCATGTCACAATGTTATAAGTTACGAGGGTGGTCCGATAAGTACTTAGCCTACAAAAGAAAATGGAAAATTTTGGAAAAGTGACGTTTCATTTTTCAACATAGTCTCCTTTTAGTTCGATACATTTGGCCAAGCGATGCTCCAACTTCTTTAACCCGTCTGAAAAATACGTTTCCTCGAGGTCTGAAAAGTAGGCTTCCGTGGCAGCGATTACCTCCTCATTCGACTCAAAATTATGCCTGGCGAGTGACTTTTTCAAGTTTGGAAACAAAAAGAAGTCGCACGGGGCTAAATCTGGAGAATACGGTGGATGGGGCAGCAGTTCGTAGCCTAATTCGACCAATTTGGCCATGGCGACGGCGGAGGAGTGAGCCGGTGCGTTGTCATGGTGGAAGAGCACTTTTTTTCGCCAAATGGGGCCGTTTTTTCTGCAATTCGACGTCGAATCGGCCCAATAATTCGGCATAGTACGGCCCTGTGACGGTTTTGCCTCTCTCCAGGTAGTCGATGTAGATCACACCTTGTGAATCCCAGAAAACGGTGGCCATCACCTTTCCGGCTGATGGGGCAGTCTTCGCCTTCTTCGGAGCACTTTCGCCGGGTAAAGTCTACTGTTTCGACTGTTTCTTGGTTTCTGGTGTATACCAGTGGATCCATGTTTCGTCGACTGTCACGAAACGACGCAGAAACTCCTTTGGATTGCGCTTAAACAGCGTCAGACATTGCTCTGAAGTTATCTCACGGTTGTGCTTGTTGTCCGGAGTGAGCAAACGCGGCACACATCGCGCTGACAGCTTTCTCATGCCCAAAATTTCATGCAGGACATGCCCCACGCGGTCTTTTGAGATGCCTACGATCTTAGCTATCTCGTGCACCTTCAGTCGTCGATCTGCCAATACGAGATCGTGAATTTTTATCACGTTATCCTCCGTGGTAGCCGTTTTCGGAGCACCTGGACGTGGCTCTTCAAATATCGACGTGCGACCACGTTGAAACTCGTTAAACCAATTTTTGACGGTCGCCATCGAAGGAGAAGAGTCACCGTACACAGCAAAAACAAAAACAAGAATCGAATCACCGACCGATACTGCTCTTTTTCCATTTTTCAAAAATCAACGGACACACTTGCTTTCACACGCTCTCAAAAATAAACTACAACTCCGATCCGGCTGAAATCTTGACAGTAACTATCGAGGAGGTTGTACTACGTGATAGAATATTTCTTTTGCGAGAGTGGCGCCAACGGGCGGTGAGGCTAAGTACTTATCGGACCACCCTCGTATACCACGGATCCAGGGGGTTGCATTTCTTATTTTTCACAAGGGTGTAAGTATTTTTTTTTAATTTTATTCTTGTAAACTAAATGAAAATTCTTTTATTCGAATGGACATTGAAAACTACAAGTAATGTATTTCGAATTTTCTCTTTAAATTATATATTAGAAGGCAAAGAATTAAATATTTATTTGTGTAACGGTCCTATTTATGAGCTATTTATTAAATCACTGAATTACTGCAACTAGTCTAACGTATCTATCTGTTTATTCAAATCAATATATTAAGCGGCGCTACCTCACTGTTTACGCGATTGTATAGA